TCGGGTGGGGGGGTCCCAAGAACAGAGCTCTCGGAGAATGGGGGTGTCCAGCCTTGTGTGGGGTCGGGGTGGGTTCCGAGCGGGGAATTGTCGGGTGCGGGGTCCCAAGAACAGAGCTCTCGGGGGATGGGGGCGTCCAACCTGGTGGGGGGTCGGGGTGGGTTCCGAGCGGGAAATTGTCGGGTGGGGGGTCCCAAGGACAGGTTTCTCGGAGGATGGGGATGTCCAACCTGGTGGGGGGTCGGTATGGATTCCGAGCGGGAAATTGTCGGGTGGGAGGTCCTCAGAATGGAGCTCTCGGATAATGGAGGTGTCCAACCTGGTGGAGTGTTTGGGTGGGTTCCGAGCGGGAAATTTGGTCGGGGTGGGTTCCGAGCGGGCAATTGTCGGGTGGGGGGTCCTAAGAAGAGAGCTCTCGGAGGATGGGGGCGTCCAACCTGGTGGGGGGTCAGGGTGGGTTCCGGGCGGGAAAGTGCCGGTTAGGGGGTCCCAAGAACACAGCTCTCGGAGGATGGGGGTGTCCAACCTGGTGGTGGCGTGGCGCGGAATTGTCGGGTGAGGGGTCCCAAAAACAAAGCTCCCAGAAGGGTGCGAGGGTGCGGGGGTCGGACCTGGTGGTGGCGAGGTGGTGGCGTGGTGGTGGCGAGGTGATGGCGTGGTGGTGGCGAGGTGGTGGCGTGGTGGTGACGTGGTGGTGGCGTGGGTCTGGCGTGGTGCGGGTTCAGGGTTGGCTCCGGGCGCGGAATTGGCGGGTGAGGGGTCCCAAGAAGAGAGCTCCCCGGAGGGTGCGAGGGTGCCGGGGTCGGACCTGGTGGTGGCGAGGTGGGACGTAATCCACAATGGCAGAGTTGAGTCGCACACGCCTCTGGGGTCGGCGGATCACTTCACGTTTGGATACTGGCGCCTATTTGAGATGATTTAGGGAGTCGTCGATATTATTTTCGCTCGGATGCCACAAACGTGGCGGCCTGAAGCCAACGGCCTTCGTTCTCGAGAGCCTCGAGTTCCACCACGAGCTGGCACTGACGCTTTTCGATATTGGCGATTTTGGCCTCCCGTTTTTTGACCGCCGACTTGGAAAGCTGGTGGACCTTGCTGGGCCGGGTGTTGGCATCGCGTATGGACCTCGAAGCTCCAAACATTTCAGAGAGTGGTTTCTTGGCGTGAACGGGAATATCCGTGGTATTTGTTGGCAGCATCTTGACGAAGGGATGAATCATTTGGAGGTCAGCCCTTTTGCCTCCTGCCTTGGCCTGGAAGCGGTGACCACCCCACTGACCTCCTGCAGCATGTGCCTGTACTCCGCGAAGTTTGGGTAGCCAGTGATGTCAGTGGTAGCACTACTTGTAGTGTGACCGGTTCTTGGTGCAGCTGCAAGCGCCACGCGTGACAGTAGATTCAGCAACGCGCCAAGCCCATCCCGTTTCGAACCAGTTGCCATGCTTTGCGAGCGTAAATGAAGGAAGTGCTGCCCAGCAGGAAAGGTCCTCTTGCGTGTAAATGGACGGGTTGCTCCAGCATGAGCACGCTGCTGCGACAGGATCCCACGTATGGGTATTCCTGAGGCCAGTTATGGCCGTGGAGTTATTGGCGAAGGCGCGCTTCCCCTATGCGGGCAGGCCAAGTGTTGTGCCGAAGCGCTATGGATCTGAGCTAAACCCGCTACGGCCCCCTCGTCCTCCTCCTCCCTCATCCTCATCCCCCTCGTCGTCTTCTTCCGATGCCTTCACGTGGTTGCCGTCCCCCTCCTTTTCCGTGTTTCTATTTGTTATTCTTATCATTATTGTTATTGTCGTTGTTCTCTTTTCCTCGTCATCCTGTTTTTCTTCTTGCTCATCCTCCTGCGCATGCGCACGGTCCAGGTCATCGAGGACACCCGAGCCGGCGGATAGTCTATAATTCAGCCCAGTGGTTCGTAGGATAAATATTTTGTCAGACATGGCGCGAGCGCGCCCAGCTTGTCCGCCCCTTGATTCTCTTCTCCTCGTCCGCCTTCTCCTGATCCTCCTCGTCGTCTTCCTCTTTTCCTCTGCTAGCAGCTTTAACCCTGATGCACTGTCTGCTCGATTTGTCGGTTCAGCGCGGGTCCTTGTGCTCCAGCGTCCTTGGTTTTCGGGGAATCGCACTATCCCTGTTGTCTTGCGTGCCCCCCGAAGGACAACTGGGACTGCGGTCAGCCGACGAACTTTGTGTTGCGCTGGAGCCCGACGCTGCTCAGGGCGGTCGACTGGATCCGAGCGCGGTTCCATACCGAGACGCTGGCAAATCCCAGTGTCCAGCCGGTTTCTTAGAGGGGACCTCTCGCCACCCAGAGGAACGATGCCGATTCACGCAGTAGACGCGTTGATCTCTCCATTCGGAAGTTTGTCAGGATGATGTTGCCATCGTCATATTCCGCTTTGCCCGTGCCATCCCTCATGTCGCCATTTGATTCATTGGAGGAAGAGGGGAGAAGGGGGAAGAGGGGGGCACACACGGCGCAAGAGCACCCGAGCAAGCCCCCAGCATGGCCCAGAGGGCCCTGGGACGGGCCAAGGTGATCCTCCGGAGAACCCCAAGACGATCCCAGAGAGCTCCACTACGGCCCACTACGCCATGGCCCCAAGACGCCAGCAACAGTCAGGGCAGCTCAGGGTAAGGCGCTTTGCGCCTCGTGTTCGCCAGGTATCTCACACCGCATCCTCTTCAGGCCGTCTAGATTTTGACTCGGCGCAGCCATTTTCATCTTTTCTCCCCTCCCACTCCTCCCCCTCCCCCTCTCTTCTGATCTTCTCACTTTATGACCCTCTCCTTCCCCCCACGGGATGCAGTATACGAGTACAGACAGAAGCTCCTGCAAGCACACGCCATGCTAACACAATTGATGATATGGCCCGTGGATCTGCAATGACATCAGAGTCCGAGTCCCTCGCCCCCCTCTCCGAGAGCAGAGGGCGTCCGCCAGGGGCCGAGTCTAAGGCCCGTCCCTGGCAGCTCGTCATTCAACGGCTTGTGGCGCTGGTTGCATTTGGACCTCGGCCTGCACGGTCCAGCGAGCCTGGTGCCAATTGCGGTGGAGGCGAAATCTACACACCAGTGGCACCAGATGACAGGCATGTCGGGACCACCGACCCAATTTTCCTGCAACGATTGTCCCGTGTGGGGTTCTGAATTCGCAACGGCGGGAACGGGAAGAGTGCCTCGCTGTGTGTCAAAGGTGTGCCGCGTGTGTTCCTTGGTAGAGTCGACGTGCTACGAAATATTGTGAATGGCTAGTGATGAACCTGCGCGCAACCAGTTTCTGGGCAGACTAAGTAATAATTTGGCGGCCGCGAGATCTCCGACTCAGCGCTCTGGGCTAACGTGTCTTGCAGCCCCTGCTCCCTGGCAGGCGCTTCTTCGACACAGTCGTGGCGGGAGCCATCGACATCTCCCTCTCCTCCTCCCCCGCCCCCCCTCCTGCTCATTCCTCCCAGGCGTCTCCACCACATCCCCGAAGCTGGTCTCAGGGGAGGACGAGTGTCAATATCTAACCACCTGTCCAGCCCCGATGCCCCCGGCCAATAACCAGGGGGAGGGGTTCAAACGCGAAGCGCGGGCAACGGCGATGGGGGGGGCCTCCTCCTCCATTCCTTTTCCTTCTAAATAACTTCTCCCTGTCTCCCGGGCGTTTCGCCTGAGACATCCTCACCATTTATGGCCCTGAAGCTTAAACGTTGGCAACGGTTTCACATATGGAGGGCGGGTGGTTTTCAAAATGTGTCTCTCGCCTTAGCGCCGCGCACAATCGTTTTCGTATTATAAAGCAAGGGTTTCACGGATTGAAGGCGGATCGTTTCCAACATGTGGCTCTCGCCTTAGCGCAGCGCACATTCGTTGTAACAAATTGCAAGAGTATCGCGGATTGAAGGCGGGTGATTTTCAGAACGTGGTTCTCGCTTTAGCGCCGCGCAAATTTGTTGTACACTTGTGCAAGAGGTTCATGGATTAAGAGGGGATCGTTTTCAACATGTGGTTCTCGTCTTAGCGCCGCGCACATTCTTTTTAAACATTTGCAAGAGTTTCACGGGTTGAAGGTTGCTGTTTTTGAAGAGGTGGTTCTCGCTTTAGTGTTGCGCGCATTCGTTTTAGAATTGTTTACGCTTCGCGAGTCCCCACCAGCCCATCCAAAAGCAGCCGCGCGAAAAAGGTGCGCTGACCGTAGGGTGTTTTCTTGTCCTTCTCCCTCTCTTTGGCTTCTTTCTTCCATCCTCCTCTCCTTCTCCTTGTCCTCGTTGCTCCTTCTCTTCGTCCTCCTCCTCCTCCTCCTCCTCCTGGCGTTGCCGTGCGATCTTGGGGCTATCTTGGGATCTCAGGGAATCGTGGCCCTCGGGCTCTCTTGGGGCTCTCTTGGGGCTCCTTTGGAAGTCTTGAAACCCTCTCGGGGCTCTTTGTGGGAGTTTGGGAGGTCTCTTGGGGCCATCTTGGAGGCCATCGGGCAAAGAAGGAGAGAGCATGTATTGGTGTACCCCCGTCGGGGCCCGACGTATCGCTTCTTGGAGCCCTCTTGGGGCGCTCTTGGGCGCCTATTGGGCGCTCTTGGGGCCGCCTGGGGCCCTTTGGGGCCGTATTGGCCGCCTCTTGGGCCGTCTTGGGGCCCTCTTGGGCAGTCTTGGAGCAGTCTTGGGAGCCTCTTGGGCCGTCTTGGGGCGGTCTTGCGGGCCTTTTGGGCTGTCTTGGAGCGTCGGGAAGCCGAAAGGGCGGGACCGCTAAAATGTTAGAACTACTTACGGAAAACAAATGATTTTGGCATCGTGGGGCCCTCTTTGGGCGCTTCTCGGGGCTCTCTTGGAGCGTCTTGGGGGCATCCTTGGGAGGTTCTGCGGCCACTTGGAGCCGTGTTGTGGCGGTCTTGGAGCCTCTTGGGGCTCTCTTGGGCCGCTCTTGGGCGCCTCTTGGGCGCTCTTGGGGCCGTGTTGGGGCCCTCTTGGTCCATATTGGCCGCCGCTTGGGCTGTCTTGGGGCCCTCTTGGGCAGTCTTGGAGCCGTCTTGGGAACGCTCCTGGGGGCCTTGGGAGCGCTCTGGGGGCCATCTTGGAGGAGATCGGTCAAAGAAGACGAAAGCATTTGTTTGCCCCCCCCCCCCCCTGGGGCCACGATCCTTGTGAGGGGTGTCAAAAAATGAGCCTCCCAGGGACCGACAAAGGACGCCCCGGCCACCCGCGCCCCCCCCTCTCCAGGCCCAGGGGGAGGGGGTAGGGGGAGGGGTCAAGCTACCCCCTCCCCGCCCGCAAGCCGTATCGCTCACTCCCACCCGCCCTCCCAACACATACGTAGCACCCGAGTCTGGCTCGAGCCTTAGCATATTCAACAGTCGTCTTTGGGTGGGCAGCTACTGGGGGCCAATCCGCCGCCGCCGCCGCCGCCGCCGCCGCTGCTGCCCGCCGCCGCCGCCGCGCCGTCGCCGCCGCCGCCGCCGCCGCCTGCCGCCGCTGCGCCGCCGCCGCCGCCGCCGCCCGCCCGCCGCCGCCGCCGCCCCCCGCTGCCAAACCGCCGCCGCCGCCGTAGCGTCTGCCGCCACCGCCACCGCCGCCGCCGCCGCAGCCGCCGCCGCCGCCGCCGCCGCCGCCCCCGCCGCCGCCGCCGCCGCCGTCGCAGCCGCCGCAGCCGCCGCCACCGCCGCCGCAGCCGCCGCAGCCGCCGCAGCCGCCAAGTGAACTCTGTATTGTTCTTTTGACAGGGATGGTGTGGGGGGGGCCGCATCGGGTTGGCTGCGCATGTTCCGAATTTGGAGGTAGAGTGTGTTTTGCATTGTTTTTACAAGGGATGGCGGGGGGGGGGTCGTCGTGGACCCTGTTTGGCCCCCAGTCGCCTGGGGGAGGGGGTGTTTATTAATAGGAAGCAGTGATAAACCCCTCCCCGAAGGGGAAGAAGGGGGTTGAGAACAGAGAGGATTATCTAAACCACTCACGCCCTAAAGGGCTGGTGGGATTTGCGAGAGGTTCACGGGTTGAGGGCGTTTTTTTCAACATGTGGATTTCGTTGTAGCGCCGCGCGCATTGCTTGTACACATACGCAAGAGTTTCACGGATTCCCACGATCTTGTTTCAGAAATGGTAGTGTGAACGGGCTCAGGATTATGAGGGTGCAACAGTTATGTTGGCTCGCGGTGTTGAAGTCCCATGAATGGCGTTCTGGTGCGATTCAGGATCGTCAAGACGCAATAGTCTGGTTGACACGTGGCGTTAGAATCCAGAGAGCAACGTTTCTGCAAACAGTTGCTGTCCAACGAGGCAGTTAGTTCCCTCAGTGGAAATGAACCGTTTGAGGGGCCTGTGAAGAGGGAGTTTGGGGAGGCTTGATTCCAACACCTTTGATGCTTGATGACTCTTAGGTTTACATCGGTCCTCCTCCTCCTCCTCATCCACCTCTTCCTCCTCCTCTATCATTGTCGTTCCCCTGTTCCTCCCTCTTCTCCCCTGCTCCTCCTTTCTCCTCATCCCGCTGTCCCCCGTTCCTCCGCCTCCTCCTCTTCATTTCTTTTGTTGAGCATACTCTGGGTGCACCGCCTGTAGCGTTCTGCTGGTGGCAAGAAATATCAAGACAACCGCCCGATTGCAGAGCTAAGCGGTGCAGGATGTGCTGGGAGAGAGTGAGAGAGAGAGAGAGAGAGAGAACAGTGGAGAGCCCGCGAGGGCAACGAGTATTAGATCTGCAGACGTTGGCACAGTTTTCCCCATCCTTCCAACCCGCCCCAACACATCTTTACACACCCCAATTCTTCCCAGGTCAAGGCCCTCACCGAGGGCCAGCACGGCAGTTGCTGAAACGGCCTTCACCGAGGGACTATGTATGAGTATGTTGGCAGCGCATGCCCTCGCCGGGGGCAGGCAAGGATCCTCGAAACCCTTAAGTGGCGTGGTGAGCGCGATCACCTCCACCACTTCCAAGACCCTAAGCTCCTCCTTCCTCCACGGCGGCATCCAATCGGCGCCTGGTGCACACTCCCTTTGCGTGTGCCGTTCAGGTCGAGCGGAGTGTGTTCAGGCATGATGGTGTTCCGCCCGTCCGAGTTCATCTACCAGGGGATGGTGCGCTACCTGGGCAATAAGAGCAGCATGCCGCTCGGCGACCACCAGTGGGGAATAGCAGGGCGACTGTTGTTTGCACGTGCCGCCTCAGTGCGGGGACGGCGCGGGCGTGGGCGTTCAGCGCAGAAGGCCAACCAGCGACTCATGTGGACCCCATGCGGCGAAGACCGCTCGAGTTCGAACGGTTTGCGTGGTGACGGGTAACAGCGCGCGCGCCATCATGGAAGGACGTGGCCATAACCCACCGCCATTTAGCCTCCCGCAGGCCCAGTTTGGGCTACCACCTTGGTGGATGTCGGCCCCTCGTCCAGGTCGAGAGGCCGCATCTCCACCAGGCTTCGGGCCTAAAATGTGGTCCGTCGGTGGTCCTGGATGGTGTTGGAGACTTTCATTTTCCCGAGGCGACCAGCAGGTGATCGCCGAGTACTTCGACAGGGTGCGCCAGCAGCCCATCCAACTCTTAGGCACCGAGGACTTGGCCGCCGTCAGTGTGCCCGCCAATTCGCCAATCCGCCCCCCTTTGTCCACCCTCCTCCCCCATGGCCATGTTTGAGGGGGGAGATGGGGGTGGGATGGGGGAGGGACGGGGTATGACGGGATGGATGAATGAATGGAAGGGGGATGTGGGTTGAGGGAGGGAACGGGCGCGAAGGTGGGAGGTGGAGCGATTCCGCCCGGTCGCAGCCACCTGGGACCGATCGACAGTATACCTTTGGCACCGATCGCAGCCAGTTGTGGTCGGTCCCTTCCAGCGGCGCCAACACGCGTGTTTGTTTTGTCATGTGTAGCATGATTGTGAATGGGGCTGGGAATACCGCTTCAGGACCGACTAATCTACATGAAGTGATCGCATCAGACTCCGAACATGTAGCGGCGTCGTCGACCAAAAACGGACTGCCGTCTCGACAGATCGCGTTGACAATCAACTAAGCAAGCATTGCCTTTTCCCAAAGCCAACACATGAGACGGAACCGTGTTTGAGCCAAAGCGCCGTCATTGTATGTAATTATTTGTGAGCGCAAACTTGAGCGCCCATAGCGGTTGGCAGTACTTACCAAGCGGGTGGAATTTGAACGATTGGGATGTTGAGGCAGAATTTATTTTGTTGGACACGATCGGCGAACGGTTGTGTACAGCCCATTCAAGTCGTCAAGTATGAGGTCATTCAAGCACTCTGACAAATTTCTTTTCCCTACTTGCGAGCCCCGCGCCGCGTCTGAGAGCACCGCGTTTCGCCTACGCGAGTAAGGAATTGTCAGAACCTCAATACGATGGGAACGCTACAACACGCTTGTGAGTACAGTAATCATTTGCTCGCGATTGAACATATTTGAGAACACCACGATGTGTTTTGTGACCGCCCGTGGCTGAGAGCGTCTCATTGTGCTCGCGACCATTCGGCAGTGAACGCAGCCAGCTGTCAGCACTGGTTAAAATGATGCGATCGCAGCCAAAAAAGTGCGGCTGCCGATGGAACAACGACATTCGCCTTTCATGTCTCGAGGCTTCAGAGTGCGCGCCGAACCAGGTGCCCATGGCATCTTTTGCCTCACAGGTGGTGGTAACTGCCCGCGAATATTGAACCCAGTTCAAGAGCAGGGATGATGACGATGATGATGTTGGTGATGCTGATGCTGCAGATGGTGAGGAGGAGGAGGAGGAGGAGGAGGAGGAGGAGGAGGAGGAAGAGGATGATGAACATGGAGAGGAGAAGCGAACCGGGCGCACGCGTTCATCATTGAGCCGAGGTTCGAGCCAGGAGGGAGGAGGAGGAGCAGCGAGGGAGAGGAGGAGCGAACGACGGGCCTGCATCCAGCGGGCAGAAAGGGCTGCAGGAGGAGGGGGGGAATGTTCAGGAACTGTTCAGAAGATTTTTTTGGAAGGTTCAGGGGCCTTTCAGGCGCTTCGAGAGTCTCCCGGATGCCTCTCAAACATACTTCGCAAGCCTCGCCACAAAAAAACGGCGTCTCGGTTATTTGTTAGACAGCTCTCGTAAGCTTTCGGAAGTTTCTCGGAATCCTCTCTTAAGCCTCTCGGAGGCATCGCACGATCTTTTGAGAAGCCTCTCGTGGGCCTCTTCGGAAGCCCTTTATCATCCTCTCGGGAGCCTCTCAGAGACCTCTCAGAGGCCTCTTAGAAGCCTCGTGGAAGCTTCTTAGAGGCCGCGCAGAAGCCGTTTGTTTAGGATATGATGCATTCCCAGATTTCGCATGAGCCTCTCAGAGGCTTCCCAAAAGATTTTTAGAAGCCTTGCAGAAGCCTGCCTCCAGAAGGCCTATGGCAAGCATGTCATGAGCATTTCTTGAATCTCTCAGGAAGGTCTCGGAATGCGCCGCCGAAGCCCCTCTGATTTTTTTGTCGGAAGCCTATTGGAAGCCTCTCGGGAGCCTCTGGAAGTCTTGCGATGATATTATACTGATCTCTCAGACGGCTCCCACGTGCCTCTCAGAAGCCTTTCGTGAGCCTTCCCCGGCCTTGACATCGGTCTCGCAGAAGCATCGCAGAAGCCTCTCAGAGGCTAGGATGCTCAGAGGCCGCCCCGATGCTCTCAAGAGGCCCATCCGAAGAGCGTCCTTCAGTGTTTTGAAGGATCACGGCACTATTATTTTTTAACAGGTTGTATTCCGATCTTGTCGGGTGGTTGCGATCGATGCCAAAACGTTGATGCACAGGCCGAAGTGGTTGTAGCGGGTCTTGTTTATCGGGAGGTGTGGGGAGGGAGGAGGGACGGCATACGAATGGGGAGACGGGAGTTGGAGGCGGGGGAGGGGGAGAAGGGCAGGGAATAAAAGAGAACCATAGCGAACGAGATTTGGGACAGTGGGAATAGAGGTTCGGAGTGGCGAGGGAAACACGAGAGAGGAGGGATGACGAGAAGGGAAGATATGGAGGAACGAGAGGGAAGGGGGGAGGGGAGTCATGTGAGGGAGGGCGGGCTGAGGTGGAGACAGAGGGAGGAGGGGGTGCGGGGGCGGAAGTGGGGAGGAAACGAGGCGGGAGTGTCGTGGTAGTTTGAGGATTCGACTCTTTCCATCCCTCATTTTCTCCTCTTGGAACCACTTCCTCTTGAAACCTTCCTGGCCGTTCGAACACCAGTGGAATTGACCAGAGACCCAATTGCGTGAACAAGCGCCCACCCCTGAAACCTTTTGGAGTTCTTGCAACCTTTTGGGGACCTGCGAAAACTCACCTCCATCCATGGTGTCAGTAGGCGTGGCGAGGGCCGCCTGACAGGACGCGTCCTTCGGCCAGTGCATCGGGAAGGTGCCCGGACCTGGTGGCATGCCCGCCTTCGTGCACAAGTCCGACTGGAGCAACAGTTGCTTCAGAAAGGATTGGAGACCAGTCGTGCGGATAGTGGACTTCTCTTCGCTCCTCTCTCCCCTTTGCGAATGGATGTGTTTGTCTGCCGTGGACGTTGAGGACTCCATGTGTTCTGATCTGGCCGGGCCTACCCTCTCTTCCCTTTCTCTTCTCGCTTCCTGTCTAAGTAGAGGCCAGGCGGGCAAAGGGAAAGAACGAGGCGATCAATCATGGGAGCAACCCATCCTCATCCTTCTCCATCCTCCCGCCCTTTTTCCCCCCTCCCTCCCCCCTTCTCTCCTCCCAGCCGCCATCTTGCCCAGGGGCTTGGGCTTCGGGTGCTGCTTTCAAGTGGCGGCGAACCTCCATCGGACCGTGGCAACGCGCCAGCCTCCGCCATAGCGGCCGTCGGGCTGACCGCGCAGGCTTTCTTTGCGGGCCAGGGTGTGCCAGCGTGCGCCTAGGCCATTGTTCGATCTCGACGCTCAACGGAGACCGCCTGGCACCGACGTGCCCGCTCGAAGTCAGGCGCGAGCCCTTTTGAGGGTCCGAGCTGCAGAAGGGCTACTTGCAGCACGCCAACGTGACATGGCGCCGACAAATTATCCATGGACGCGTTCCACGTCCAGATCGAGGCGAGGTTGCAACGACGGATGGTTTTGCTTCAGATGTGGTGATTGCAATTCTGGGCAGTGGTCCATGTTGGTGTCATCCACAGCTTGCAGCATCGCAGCAGTCGTTGCCCAAGGACTGGGACACGGGCCCCGGGCGAGGCAATGCAGGCCGCGGGCCCCCCCGACCAGCAGTCGCCCAAGTGTCAGCAGCATGCCAGGCCGCCTGGTACTCCAGCCTGCTCCGCCCCTGGGGCCACCTTCGCAGCCGCCAAGGCCCATGAAGCCTGGATCGAGCCGCCGTCCGCGCCGTCGGAACGGGCTAAGCATCGCGCAGACATGACGGAGGCGATGACCACGATAGGGCAGGGATTGCCGCCCAAAAGGAGATGACGTGAGATGCAACGTGGATCGGCATTTTCGATGAGGAACTTGCCCATTTCCATCACCTCTACTCTTCCCCTTCCATGGGAGCGCTCGCAGAATCAGGGGGTATAGACCGCTCCGTCGTCTCAAGCAGGCCCAGCAAGCTTGGACCCAGGATCGGAGTAGATGCCTCCCTGGCCAAGCCAGGGGGGCGAATGCATATTCACCGATCCTGGGCCCAGGGGGGGTGCCATGCATATATTCAAGCCCTGGGTGGACCATGCGTGACCACATCCACTGCGTGTCGAGGTCCCCGAAGATCGATCCCACAGTTGGTGGTTCAGGCCGATGCTTCCCCCCCTGAGCCAGTCCTCTCCGGCGGCGGCGTTGGCGGTTGCGGAGCCCGCGTGCCGACAGGACGCCGACCCGATCGGCTGCAGGGGCCACCCGCTCGGGCCTTACTGGCGCGACCACTTCTGCCGTGCGGCGAAGGCCAGCGGGGCGCCTCGCCTCCCCCCCTCTGGCGCTGGCGCCGGCGTCTCGGCATGATGGCAGGGTGGAGAGGCATATGCAACACGAGCTCTGAGAGAGGTCTGCGCGGATTTCTTGGATCTGCGGAGCCTCAGGCGCGCTTGGCGCGCTCCACGCGCCAGGAACGGGAGACCAGCGTTGATCCCCCAAAACCGCGCGGACCTCAGACAGTTTGTGTTTGTGTGGATTTTTTGTTTGTTTGAGCTCTGGCCTCCCTCGCGCCGTGAAAAAATCACGGCGGTCCTCAGGAAGTGGTCCAGGCCTACAGGAAGCCACGCTGCGAGCAAGCTCACGATCTGGGTGGGCCGTCAAAGACTGGCTCGGGAGGATGAGAGCGGGTCCGGGGGAATTCCCCGAAGTTCAGGGCACGTTTCCGCCAGGGCCCGTCTCCCTCACGCCAAGTTTTCAGGGCCAGTTTGACGAGTCTCTGGGTTGTCGGGGGCGCCCAGGGGCCTTGTTGGAACAAATTTGCGATTTTGAGTCGAGCGTCGTGAAGTCATCTCGGAGCTATCGTGGAGGCCTGCTGGGGCCATCTCGGGTCGCGTATTTGGAGTCTAGGACATCTACAATAATAGTTCCCTACCCCACGTGGACAGGCGCAAAAGAAAGGTCGCGAGAAGTAGCAACGTCATAAACAATATGATTGCAACGCCTCCATGACGAGCTGCCGGAGATCTGCGAACGTCGTGCAACAGCATCGGTCCCAGGTGTTGCTTCAGCTCAAGCGTATCCGTACCGCGCTTGGGCGTTCGACTGCACTTCAGCGATGGCGAGTCCAGAGGGCGCACTCTCTACTGACTGTCCTTGCATGGCATGCCCGCCTGGCGGCGCACTGCGGGGACACTTTCTGCTCGCCTTGTGGGTCGCAACCTCGGGCTTGCTTGGTTCAGCGAGGATGCCGTTCGTGCCATTGGCCTGCACGCGGCAGCTCACATGTCATTCGCGATGCGTCTAGCTTGGCAACTCGGTCGTTCAGATGTTCGCAAGGCTATTTCGTTGACATTGCCATCGTCGCCGTGCCCCGATGGTGCGCCTCCAGGGCCTCTTACTTCATATATGGTCCCGGGCTCCGGGCCCACGGCCCCCCCCCCCAGATGGTATGGTCCCAGGATTCCTCGGGCCCCCCCACCCCCCCCCAAATGGTATGGTCCCAGAGACGACGACGACGACGACGACGACGACGACGACGACGACGACGACGACGACGACGGCGACGGCGACGGCGACGGCGACGGCGACGGCGACGGCGACGGCGACGGCGACGACGACGACGACGACGACGACGACGACGGCTGCGGCGGCGACGACGCCGGCGGCGGCGGCGGCGACGACGACGATGACGACGATGACGACGGCGACGACGGCGACGACGAGGGTGACGATGACGACGATGACGACGACGACGACGGCGACGACGAGGACGACAAGGACGACGACGACGACGACCTATGAACCACCACAGCACCACACCACATCCACGGGGGGGAGGGGGGCACCGCAACGCAGCACCACGCCACGCCCACCTCTGAACCACCACAGCACCACACCACATCCACAGGGGGGGGGGGGCACCGCAGCGCAGCACCACGCCACACCCACAGGGGGGGCCGGGGGGACCATCGCGCGGGGGGGGGGGGCCCAATGGCATCAGCATTGGGGGGGGCCCAAGCCCTGGACCATATATCCTATTCGAAGCCACGTCGGAGTTCTCTGCAGAACATTGATGGGGATCGCTGCAATCGGCGTTTTCGTAAGAATCGTACGGCGATGCGGACTTCTATTCTGCAGTGAGTACGGCGCACGAGGCTAGCGGTATCCGCTTTTTGGTGCAGCCCGCCTGCCGTCCTGGGTTCGCACAAACAACAGGCTTGCGGGCAAGGTTCATCGCTCACTGTTGCAGCCTATGTTATTTTACCATACGCAGTGCAGCGATATTTCCTGTCTGGAATCTCGATGCTGCAGCACGTCGGCGAGATTGACAGCACCATGCGGGCGGCTACTTCTTTGATTTTTCGGCGGCGTTCCCGTCACTGGCGCACGATTTCATGGGGGACGCGTTGGAATTCTCGGAGCTATCGCTGCGGTTCCGGCCTTGCGTGTGTAGCGTGTATTTGGCAGCGGTTGCAGACATGGCAGCGGACGGCCAGTTTCATGATGAGTGTTTAGTCAATCTGGGATTCGCAAAGTGGTCGCCGTTGGTTTTCGCATTTGGTGACGACCTTCTGTTTCGCCGCTTACAGGGCCCGCTGCCGGGTGACATTTTCAGGGCGTGCGCGGAATTTCGAGGGATGTCTTCCTGCTATCGCTCGCGCTGTTCCGCTCTTTTGGGTTTCCATCATGTCCGGCTTGTCGCTGAATTTGGCGAGGACCGTCTGCGTCTTTCGCCGCGGCCGTTCGGCGGGGGATTTCCAACATCACGTGAGGAACGATTTCCGTGCTGGGGGATTCCCTTCATCAGATCTTGGATTGGGTATAAGGGCCACGTGCGGGGGTCAGGCGAAGGCCCGCGATCTTGGCAGGAGGCACTGGACCAGCGCACCTGCAGTGCCGATCTCTGGGCGCAAGTCGGGTTCCGCCGTCGTTACGTTACCAGTGGCCTCGGTTTGGGTTTTTATCTTGCAGTTGGAGGTCCTGCCATATCTTGGGAGATTGTGGAGGCTAGTGCCAGGCCCTGCCCAGTGAGTTTTCCTGGCTGATGTCCGCGCTCTGCGGCGTCATCCTAATCCGCTGCAGGTTTTTTTCTGATGACGTGCAGGAGGTTTCGCTAGCGGCTCGTCTTCGGTTGCTCGCAAGGAAGCGGCTGCGTCGGACAGCTTGTTTATGGTTGCGCATATTGATTTTCCATATGTATATTCGGCGGCGCTCGTGTTCCCAGTGTGTCATGCAGGCATCCTAGTCGATTTGGCGCAGCCGGATTCTGGCGGTGGTGTTCCTTGCCCCCGCACCTGCAGGCGAGCAGTCGCGTCGCCCGCGGCTTGCATGGGGGTCGCTCGGACGCGCGCCGTGCGTAGCCAGGGCAGCGCTGTGTTGCGCGGGTCATAAGTTTGCGGAGCTGACCGAGGAAACGTGATTGATCCATGTGAATTTTCGCATCCTGCGGCGCCAGTGGTTCTTGAGCGCCCAACCCCAGGACCAGCGCCAAGTATTCTTGCGAGGCCTTGCTGTTTGATGGGGATGGCACGCCAAGGCGCGCGGGCAAGGGCGCGGGGGGGCGTCGGGGCGGGGGCGGGAGGAGGCAGCTCGTAGACAAATCTATCCGCGCATCGATCACCCGCCAGGAAGCACGCGCAAGCGAGCGGCATCGAGCACTTTTGGACCCCTTTTCGATTCTGGGTCGTTGGGGATGGATGCAGGAGTAGTTGCCCGCGGTTGCACGACGGAAACGGCAAAGAATTTGCGACGCATTTGAATTGCAGAAGCGCGTTCCCGACGCAAGGCCTCTACAGAGTTCGTGTTGCACGTGCCCAACAAGTGTTGGATATTCTGGGCATCTACGCGTTGCGCGCCCATCTGAATCGTTGCCATTCTCCGCGGTCGGCGCGCGGCATCAAGTTATCTGCGAGAGCTTCGCCCCCTGCCGCCGGCCCCCTCTCTCGGATATTGGGCGCTGCAGAAGCCATATCATGAGGCCTTGGCGCCGCCGCGAAGCGACTAGCGTGTGCTTTACGTGGGATTATGGCTTCGGGGTTGCAGATCTAATGTAATTGTTGTAGGTGCATGGCTTCGGAGACGCGACTATTTTGAAATTTCCAGGGGATGATGGCTTCGGACACGCGATGCTTGCGTATTTTACGAAGGTTTACGGTCGCGGGGTCGCACACGTTGCGTCATCTACGCAGGCGCATGGCTTCGGAGACACGAGCCTTGCGTACTTTACGAGGGTCGATGGCTTCGGGGGCGCGACCATCGAGAGATTTGCTTGCGTTTGTGGCTTCGGGGGCGCAGCGATTGTGCACGTCGCGCAGGTTGAAGGCCTCGGGGAAGCGAATATGCCGCATTTCGTTAGGATTCATGACTTCGGGGGCGCGAGCATTGCGCAATTCGCCCAGGTTCGTGGCTTCGGGGCCGCGAAGATGGTGTAACTTACGAAGATATACGGCTTCGGGGGCGCGAATTTTACATGTTTGCACGCGTCCCGCGCCCCCCCCCCCCCGCGCCTAGGAATTCAGGGCGCGCGATTCGGGCGCGGCAACTAGGTTCCTTCTCGCGCCCCCCCCCCCCCCCCCCCCCCCTCGCGCGGCCCATCGACGAGGATCAGTGAGCAGCGAGAAGCAGAATTGTAACAGTGGAAGCTAAACTCTCGGCCAACAGCCTGGTGGCCCGCAGGGGGGCCGACGGATGAGGTGCAACTCTCGCGTGCGATTTGCCGCTGCGCGCCCGCGTAATTGGGGCGCGTGGAAGCGCGCTTCACGGCGTCGAGCGTTTTTTTCTTCGTCTCGGGCAGCGAAGCGCGGGGCGACCTTGCGCGCGCATTGCCCGCGCATTTGATTTGCGTTTTGGCTTTGCTCGCCGCGCGATTGTCGCGCTCTCTCTCTCTCTCTCTCTCTCTCTCTCTCTCTCTCTCTCTCTCTCTCTCTCTCTCTCTCTCTCTCTTCTCTCTCTCTCTCTCTCTCTCTCTCTCTCTCTCTCTCTCTCTCTCTCTCTCTCTCTCTCTCTCTCTCTCTCTCTCTCTCTTCTCTCTCTCTCTCTCTCTCTCTCTCTCTCTCTCTCTCTCTCTCTCTCTCTCTCTCTCTTCTCTCTCTCTCTCTCTCTCTCTCTCTCTCTCTTCTCTCTCTCTCTCTCTCTCTCTCTCTCTCTCTCTCTCTCTCTCTCTCTCTCTCTCTCTCTCTCTCTCTCTCTCTCTCTCTCTCTCTCTCTCTCATTCACATCTTGCGAGGGTTAGCGACGGCGCGCGCGGAGCCATTTGTTGCCATCTACGCGTTTCATTATTCGAAGGCAGCCGCGGCGCCGCATGCTTCGCA